AAGAAGACACAACAATGACAATTCCTTGAAGTTGATACTACAAGCAAGCAGAGAGGACATTGTTGGGGAGGGGTAGGGGTAGGGGGGAGGGAGGGAGGTTTCGGTAATGGGCCACAATAATCAACCACATTGTATATTGACAAAATAAAATAAAATTTTTAAAAAATGTAATTCAATTCCTTTCCTTAAACTTTGAATGATTTTTCTCAAAATGATAGTACAACTTAATTGGAAGCATAATACTATCCAAAAATAGTCTCGTGTCAGACTATAAAGGTAAATTATCAACATCAATAAAGCTGAAGAGAAAGATTAAAAAATATATATATTGTAGCCTGAAAGATCAGACAGGTCAGTAGAAAGATTCATGCAAAGGGTACAGAGATATTGCTGTCAATGAGGTTTCTAAAGGAATTTTAATTTCTAAACTATAATTATAAAATGGCTAGAATGTGAGAGTAGTTATGTACATGTGTGTATACACATATGTATTTCATAAGTTTATAATATGCTGAATAAATTTTCACAAACTGAACATACCTGTGCAACCCAGCTAAATAAACAGAATACAACCAGCAAGTCAGAAGCTCCTGTTGTGACATTTCCTTGTCACTATCCTATATCAACAGTAACCACTATTCTGACTTCTGGCAGTATAGGTTAGTTTGCCTATTTTTGTACTTTACGTAAATGGAATCATAAAGTATGTGTCTGGTCTCTTTTGCTCAATATGTGTGAAATTCATCCATAATTTTGTGTGTAGCTGTAAACTGTTCTTACTGCTTTATAATATTTCATTGTGTAAATATACCATAATTTATTCATTCATCTTACTGTTGATGACTGTTTGTTTTGAGGAGTTTCTAGGTCTTGTCTATTATAAATATACTGCTCTGAACATCCCGATACATGTCTCTGTATTTGGGTGCAAAATTGTATGCATTTCTGTTGGGTATATGTCTAGAGGTAGAATTTTAGGTTACAGAGTATATATGTGTTTAGTGTTAGTAGATTCTGCCATATAGTTTTCCAAAGTGGTTCTTACAATATACACCCCCATCCAAGATGTATGAGAATTTCAGTTGTCCCACATTATCACCAATACTAGGTATTTTCCATCCTTTCCATTTTAGGCATTCTGGTGGGAGTGTAGTAATTTTACATTGTGTTTTAATTTGTATTTCCCCAGTGATTGGTAAGTTGAACTCCTTTTAATAAAATTATTGGCCATTTTTCATTCTCTGTCATTTTTCATTGTCTGTTCACATGTTTTGTCCTTCAATTAAATTGTCCTATTGACTTATTAGAGTTCATTATACATTAAACATATGTACACAGGTAGATACAGATATAGATCAGAGTTCCTTACATATTCTGAATGAGTCTTTTGTCAGATACATTTACTGCAAATATAGTTTCCCACTATGTGTACTACCTTTACATTCTCTTAGGGGTATTTTTGATGAACAGAAGTTCTTAATGTGAATAAAACTCAATTTAACACTTTTTTCTTTATAGGTATTTCTTCTTGTTTTCCACTTAAGAAACCTTTGCCTACCCCAAAATCATGAAGAGATTCTTCTATGTTTATTATAAAAGCTAAAAGCTTTACTATTTTATCTTTCATATTTAGATATGCATTCATTGTGAATTAATTTTATGTATGACATGAGGTAGAAGTGAAGATACCTTCCCCCCCATTGTGGATATCAAATTAGTCAAACACTATTTACTGAAAATGCATCTTTTCTCCATTGCAGTACAGTGTTACTGTCATTATAAATCAGGTGACCGTGTATGTGTATATATGGCTTTTATATATGGCTTTTTTTTTTTTTTAGGAATTTCTATTTTATTGGGCAGCTGTCTATTCTTTAACCACATTGACATTTTCTTTACCATTGAACAAAAATACTAGCAGGAAATACTAATTCTAGAGGCATCAATTGTTGTCTTTTCTAGCCTTAAAAACGAAGTCATGTTTTGAGATTCATCCCACTTGAGTGGAGCATTTTAGAGTTATCTTCAATCTCTTACCTCCATTTTTAGCAGAACCAGAAGATACAAGGGTGTACAAAAAGTAAAGCTGAAGTTCTAGGAAACTTCAGCTGGTTCTCTGTGGAGAGTGCTATGTCACTGTAGGTGGGAATGTTCAAAGCTTTGCCTACCAAAATACATCCTTCAGCTAAGTACCAGTTACAGAGAAACTGTACCAAATTTCCATGCTCAGTTATGGCCCTTCTGGTAACATCTGGGAGATTATCATGAAATTAATAATAAAAGCATCATGTCTTATATTTTGCATCTTTTACAACTGACAAAAAACTTGCACATTATAGCATTTAATCTTCTCGACAATCCAATGAGGAAAGTACTATAAAAATCCTTTTACAGATGCCAAAAATGAAACTCAAAGCTTATCAATGTTAGGCCTCTTGTAAGCAAGTTGGCTAGGACTTTAACCCAGTCTGCATAAATTCAAATGCAGTGGTTTTGATGGTAAGTGCTGGAACACAGCTCTGGAACTGGATTCTCAGGAAGAATGATGTTCATGTATCTGGGGCCTGCTTTCAACAAGTGTCTTCTGAAATGCCTCCTGATTGCGTTTTCCACAGTGTCATGGACACTGGCCCCAAGATCTCAAGTTTAAAATGGGAGAAAGGGTAATTGAAGAGGAGAGGCGGGGGTGGGGGGGCTATATTTCAAGATAATGAGATCATCTTGACAAAACCCTTTTTTCTCTTACCCCAAAAGTGACTTGGCTGTTGAAGAAGGAAGCTAAGAAAATTATTTTTCTTGCTGTTTTCAGTAAAATTTCAATGTTTTTATTATTTTCAGTGAATCAAGTAGTGAGTAATGAGTACAGTCTGTGTGTCTACATCTGTAAAATTAAGTTTAAGAAATTAATTTGGTTATTTTAACACATACAAAATGCTTACTAATGCTATACAAGTAGGATTTTATTTGTGGTGGGACAAATGACAGCCAAAGAAAAAAATAACTATCATCAAGTTTAAGAAAATACAATGGAGGCTCCAGTCTTGATGTAAGCAGCATGTTACTTAACTCTATTTTGATTTTTACATATATTTGTTGAATGTTCATAAAGAGTCTGGCAATGTTCTATGCACTAGTGGAGGATTCGGTGGGAGAGGCTGATTCAGAAAGATGTGGTCCCTGTCTTGGAAAAGCTAAATAGTCTAGTGGCAAAGTCAAATACTTTCTATATACAAGCGCTGAGAAAAAAATAACCTCTAGAAAATACAGCTATTCTAAGGTCAGCTGTTCCTGTGGACCCCTCCCCAATCCACACACACACACACACACACACACACACACACACACACACACACACACACACACAAAGCTTCTCTTTAAAGTTTTGCTCGCTTTTGCTGGTGACATTTCAGAGGCCAAGTCTCTTATTGGGAGCAGTCCCCTAAAGGCACTTTTTTAGGTTATGTGGCATCTTTCAGGTCAAAGCTTTTCTGAAGTTATTTTACAGTGGGGAACATAGATGAATCTTTTTGCAAAGTCCAACTACTAATAGCAAAGCCACGTGTGTCAACTAGAGCTCTGTAGCCAGCTTTCCCTGAGCAAGGATGCTTAATTCATGAACATATGAAAATCTGCATTCACGACTAAGCGATAAATACCGCTCCTTCAAAAGAGGGTGTTTCTGAGCAGACAGCATGGCGTCCTGGCACCTGCCAGCTCAAGACAGTAGCAAAGCCGAGGTCACCCTCCACTCACAGCAGTGGTGGCTGCTCTGCACACTCCTCCCCCGCTTGTGTGCTTGGGATTAACAGCAGGTGTTTTCTTCTGCTTGGACTGAAATCCCATTCTTCTTTCTGAATTGGACTCTCTTCACTGAAAATATGGGTTGAATTTGAAGAACAAAGTGGGCTACTTTAGCAAACACAGATAGTATTTCAAAATTTGGGAGCCATGTTTTTTTTTCTAAGTCAAAACATTACAAATTAAAGATGGGAAACCTTGATTATCAACCTTTAAAATGAAAGGTGGGTCATCATTTAAGTTTTGTTTTTTGTCTTTACAGTTTAAAAACAAAACTCACTAGTATTAACTAAAAGACGGGCAGCAATACAAATTAACGACTATTTGAATTACAGAATGAGAGTATTTCAAAAAGCTCATGGAAAAATAGAATTAAAAGATAAACAAATCTTTCCATGAGCATTTTGAAGAACCCTGGTACTTTACAACAGCATTTAGTTGCTTTCAACTATACCAAGTTTAACAATCTAATACGCAGTAGACCTATTTGTTGTTCAGGTAACAGTATCAATATAACTATGTGAAGATAAAACACTGTTACTAAAACAAGGCTGAAGTCAATGGAAAGGAGATATGGTAAAATTAGCAGTTATAGATAAGTCACAGCTTTATTTAAGGCTCCTTTTGGGATTCCTGTCCTTCTAGTCTGGTCTAGAATGTTGGAGTCAGATCTTTTATATGGCCCACTTTAATATATAAATAAGAGTATTTTAAATAATCTTTCCGATTAATTTTATGCAATTAGCTCAAAATACATAAATATTTAAAGGTACTAATAAAGTTTTTATTTATTAGTGTTGCTACTTGGTAGTTGCAACATTTCTTTTACCATTGTTAGAGTGTCATTAATTTACTACTAATCTGTTTATTAGTTGTCAGAGTGTTATTAAAATTTATAAGTAGTTTAGAAGTAAATTAGTGACAAACTTCAAACTAGCCCCTGTTCAAATGATTTCAAATTTGTAATTTACAGTAACCATCTTTGTGTTTGTATCAAGCCTTTAATGTGGGTCTTGGCCTATACCAATT